TCCTTCCTTCCTTCCTTCTCCTTGTTTCCCTTCCTTCCTTTCCCTTCGTTCCTTCCTTCCTTCCTTCTCCTTGTTTTCCTTCCTTCCTTCATTCCTTCGTTCCTTCCTCCCTCCCTCCCTCCCTCCCTCCCTGTTTCCTGTCCTTCCTTCCCAATAGCACATAGACTTATATACCGCTTTACAGCCCACTCTAAGCAGTTTACAGAGCCAGCCTCTGGCCCCCAACAATCTGGGTCCTCGTTTGACCCACCTCAGAAGGATGGAAGGCTGAGCTGACTTTGAGCTGGTCAGGATCGAACTGGTGGCTGTGGGCAGAGTCAGCCTGAAAATACTACATTCTAACCACTGCGCCACCATGGCTCTTGGATGGATGGATGGATGGATGGATGGATGGATGGATGGATGGAAGGAAGGAAGGAAGGAAGGAAGGAAGGAAGGAAGGAAGGAAGGAAGGAAGGGCAATAGCACTTAAGACTTATATACCGCTACACAGTACTTTTACAACCCTCTGTAAGCAGTTGACAGAGTCAGCCTTTTGCCCCCAGCAATCTGGGTCCCCACTGGACCCATCACAGAAGGATGGAAGGATGAGTCAACCTTGAGCCAGTGAGGATCGAACTGTGGGCAGATCCGATCTGCCAAATTGCAGGCAGCCGGCTGCAGCAGAAGTAGCTTGCAGTACCGCACTCTAACCACTGCGCCACAGAGGCTCCCTATCCCTGTATTCTGCATCCCGCTGCCTACTTTACTCTTAATCCTACCGTGTTTCTCCAACAATACGGCCTCCACCAGCATGATTTCTAGGCATGAGGTGAAATTAAGCCTGGCCCCCCAAAATTTAGGCCTATTTAAACCCTGCGTTTCCCCGCCATTTCTCATGTCGTTCGTTAGAACGACACGAGGTGAAGAGAAATGGGGGGCAGGGGGGAGATGGGGAGAAAACTTGCCTTTAGGAGTTCCCTGCAGGTAGCCCAGGCTAGAATACACCGATAGCCGATAGAAGCTCCCCGAAGGCAGAGTCCCCAGCCGCTTCGGGGCGAGGCGTAGCTACTACCCATGTCCCCTCGCCTTTAGGGCAGTGTCTTTCGGGCGATGGAAGCTTCTTAAATACAGTCAACAGCCACTTCGATCGGCCAGTAGAAGCGGCCTCGGGGCGAGCGCGCACAAACACCCCCCCCTCTCCGCGAGGCTGTTTCTATCGGCCGATCGAAGTGGCTGGTGACTGCACCTGGGGAGCTTCCATCGCCCCAAAGAGACTGCCTAAAGGTGAGTGGACATGGGCAGCCATGCCTCGCCTCGAAGCGGCTGGGGACTCTGCCTTCGGGGAGCTTTCGTTGGCCGGTAGAAGCGGCCTCGGGGCGAGCGCACACACACACACGCCCCTCTCCGCGAGGCTGTTTCTATCGGCCGATCGAAGTGGCTGGTGACTGCACTTGGGGAGCTTCCATCGCCCGAAAGAGACTGCCTAATGGCGAGGGGACACGAGCAGCCACGCCACGCCCCGAAGCGGCTGGGGACTCTGCCTTCGGGGAGCTTTCGTTGGCCGATAGAAGCGGCCTCGCGTTCCAGGGAACCTCCATTCCAATCAGTAACTCCGAGACAAGCGTCATCTCAAAAGGACCTTTATTAGAATAGCACCTGGCACGTCTGTGGAATCTCGAAACCAGAAATTTCCCGGACTTCCCACAATGTCCCAAACTACAAACCATCCCCTTTTCCCTCTTCGTCACATCACATGAACCAATCCCAAAGTAAGTTCCTGCGCCACACTCTTTGACCTTGAACTAACAAAAAGAATCCTACGTTGTCTACTTAGAGTTACTCAATAAAAACCACACACCCTTCCCACTTTCTCAAGCTATGTGGCAGCGATGAATAAAGGATTCCAAAGCTGACATCGGCCTTGTCCCGAAGGACTTGGGCTGACTTCTGCTGGACTGTTCACAAACTGTTTGGGACCGGGGTTGCCAGATCGCAGTTTGGCTCTGCGGCCAAACTCTCAAGTCAAAATACGGCCAAATTCGGCCAAATTATTTTTGCGCATGCGCGAGGGAAGGAGAGCGCCAGAGGACGCGCTTGTCCTCCTTTTGCTCACGGTGACGCGCATGCGCGAAGGAAGGAGAGCGGCCGGGTTCCCATCCGGCCGACTTCACGGCCAAGCAACTTTCGTACGGCCAAATTTCCGGCCAAATAAATAAATTTGGCCGGAGACATCATTTTTTTTTTTCACGGTCAAGCAGATAGAAATACGGCCAGATTTCTTGAATTTGACCGGAAAAACGGCCAGATGGCAACCCTGTTTGGGACTCATTACGGGCTGGGAATGATTATATAATTCACAGCCGTTGAAAGAAAGCAAAAGGGACTAACGTGTGTTGGTTAGTGTCTCAGGAAGCCTGGGTCAGAACAGACCAGGCCTGAAAAAAATTGGTAAAATATTAGCAACCGCCTCAGTTAGCGGCGAGAAATCCCCATCCCGAATGGCCGCTGTAAACGTGGAGGGCTATCATTATACACCTTATGTAGCGGAGGCCCTGCCCGGCAGCACGAGACTTGGGTTGTCCCCCAGCGGTGCTTCCCTCCACACCCCCAGACCCAAAAAAAGGGGGAGGAAACAAGGAGAAAGGTTACTTTTCTTTGAAGATCTCCTTCTCGTGATCCGTCCAGACGTTCATGAACTGCCGGTCCTTGTAGACCTTCATGGGATCTTCCATCAGCCCGTTCATGTTAATGAACTTCACCCGTCTCTGCTCGGCGTCGAACATCATGGGAGGGATGACGGACAGCTGGCGCATTTGTTTCTCGTTGTTCTAGAAGCGGGGAGGGGCGGGGTAGGGGGAGGAAGAAGAGAAGGGGAAGGGAGAGACACGGGGGGAACCCTGAGTGCATCGTTTCTGCCTCTGCTGAGTGGGCCCCACATCAGGCCTGGCAGATCTCCCGGTTAGAGAAAAGAGAGGAAGAGAATCGTAGAGTTGGAAGGGACCTCCGAGGTCATCTAGTCCAATCCCCTGCACAAGCAGGAGACCGGGCCTACACCATTTCAGACCAATAGGTTGTCCAGTCTTGTCTTAAAAAACATCCAGTGAGGGAGCTCTCACAACTTCTGGAGATTAACCGTTCCATTGGGTGATTGTTCTCATGGTTGAGAAAGAGAGAGAGAGAGAGAGAGAGAGAGAAAGAAAGAAAGAAAGAAAGAAAGAAAGAAAGAAAGAAAGAAAGA